ACACTAGTCTGTCGTGGGTTCGTCTCTGTCCATTCACATGGAGTTTTCCGGGTTTTCTTCACGTGTTTAACACCTAAGCAGGGACCAGTTTCTTGTAAAATGTCCTCCAAGAACGCATCTCTTTATTCCTCGACCCTACCTCGAGTGACTCGGAGTCCTATCTCTTATTAAGGCCCTAGCAATTAGTTATTTTTAGAAATAACTTAATAATATATATATATTTTAAACGTTGGTTGATCAATTCAAATATATTTAAACAGAAGCTTCTCCTTTTTTGAATTTATAGGAGGCGATTTACGGAAGATAAAGCACCATTCTTTGCAGATCGTGATCGGATTTTGGTGGTTAGCAATTTTAGTTATAGGTTACGGATATACAGAATGTCTATTTTCTTTCTTAACATACCCGGAATTCGAATACGTCCCAACAACATTCGCAGAATTAAAATCTGACGTCGTTGATGGCAAATTCCTTTGTGGGACGTTGAAAATGGGCGGTGTCGACAACATACTAACGGTAAGAAGATTTAAACTGAATTTTTAAAATATTTACACTAAATAACAAATAAATATTCTCTTATTTAATTCACATTTTAGCATTCGAAACGAGGAGCAGCAAAAATTATAAACAATGAAATTCGGAAGAAGGATTCAAGTCTTGTACTTTCTTACGAAGAAGGAATGAAGAGAGTTCTTAAAGAAAATTATATTTTTATAGAAGACAGCAGTGTCATTAAAGAATTAGCTAATAAATTAGGAAGAAACAAGTTTATACTTTCGAAAGATTCGATATTTTCTAACGTGGCAGCATTTGGAATCCCTAAGAGATTATCTTATAGACATCGAATGAATACGATGTAAGCCATGTTTAATTGTTTTTTCTTTAAATAATTTTAAATAAATTACTTTTGTTTTGTTATTTTTCTTGCAGGATATTAAGGATTTTCGAGAGTGGAATAGTAGAAAAGCTGTTAAATGATGAACTAGCAAAATCTAAATCTCTTAATAAATATATTCACTATCGAGATGTTAAACCATTATCCATGGAAGATCTGTTCAGTCCGTTTATTTTACTTATTGTTGGATATACAATTTCTATAATATTATTTATATTCGAAATACTTTTCGCAAAAATTAGTTAATTAATATTTCTTTATTTCATATAGAAATTAATTCTTATCTTGGCTTATAAAATTTCTCATAAAAGCTTATAAAATACGAAGATACAGAATGTGTTTTTTTAAAAAAAATAATACAAATAAGACGATGCCGGGCTGCAAATTTTAATCATATTTTAATTTATTTGATTCAAAATATATGCTCTCGATCTATAATTAGTAGTGGGTTGCTCCTGTACATCATACTTTTCCTGATAACAACAGTGTCGTGTCAGTCATACTGTATCAAATACTGTAACTCCATTTACAGAAAACTTTTTGAATTGAAATAACGTGATTTTCGGTCTAGACTGGAAGTTCTTATATACTTAATTAGAACCTAATTTCCATACCTTTTCCGTATCTGGTCGTGATTTTTATCTATCTCACACCGTTCTCGAGATTAGGGAAGGACAGACAGACGGACAACGGTGAAAACTTATAGGTCTACAATTTTTTTTTTCAAATTGCAGCCCAATTACTGTCTTCTTAATCCTTTTCAACTGCAGGATACACGCTTAACAATGGAAAAGTTGACATTTTCTTTGAAAAAAAAAATACGAGAAGACAGCAAAATTAATTTGTATTATTTTTAAAGAATTTCTAAGTTTAATTAAATTGTTATGTAGAGAATAATTTATAAAAAGTCCATAAAACATTTTTGTATGATGGCTGAAAATTTAAAACTAATTATTTTATTCAAATAAAAGAAAGTTTATGACTTATTATTTGCAATTTTCTATTATTAATTTACTACAATAAAACCTGTCGAAAATGGAACGGAAGATGGCAATGGAATAAGATGGCAAATTGTCTAAATGGAAAAATTCTTCGAAACTAAGCGATTATTTATGTTAAAAAGCAACCTGCCAAACCGGAAAAAATATTGAGTGCCTGTGATTTCAGTTTTACACAGGTTTCTGTACTTTTTCCTCCAAAAAATTTAAGGATACCAATTATTTTAATAAGTACAAATGATATACTGTATATGTCATTTATACTTGTTAATATCTCCATGTATTTAGAAAGGTGTTAGACAAGTTCATATATAATTTGAAAAAATTGTAGGCCTATAAATTCCCACTGTCGTCTAACTGTTTGTCTGTCTATCCTTCCTTAATATTGAGAACGGAGTTAGATAGATGAAAGTCGACAACAGATATGGATATTTTAGGGGACAGAAGACCCCGATTAATTATGTACGAACTGAAAATATTAACCGTAAGTCACGTGATTTCAATTTAAAAGGTTTCCCCAGAACGGAGACAATAGTTAAAAAGATGACGGCATGATTCTGTGGTTATCAGAAAAAGTATGATGTACAGGATCAAAATACTATTAATTTGAGATGGAGAGCATATATTTTAAATTAAATAAATTAAAAAGATAATTACAAATTTTTGCTCTTATTCTAATGAGTTTTTACTCCATTTAGGCACTGGTTATTCACAGGTGCTTAAATATACTATATTAAAATGCAATATTTCTCTCACCTTCTCCACACAGTCCATCTCATTATCTCTACGAAAATTCTATTAAAGTGCACCGATACTACTTGTTCTAGATAAATCACCACTTAAAACACCATCGCATCCACTCATAATGTACAGCATCACCAAAACTTCTCTATTTCATAATGCCCAATGCAAACTGTCACGCGTGTATTAATGAGTTTTGAGGAAAGTAACTTCTAGAGGATTTATGCCATATCTATTATCAATTTATCGTTGAGATATTCTCTAATTAGAAGGCTCGGGACATAATCTGGTATATGTAGCCGCTCACGCAATAATACTTTTATTAATTCCTATAAAATTTCACATTTTCCATCCAATATGGATGCGCAAGGTCAACGTATATGCATTAATTCCTAACCCAGTTTACACGCACCAACAGGGTGCTGGTTTCTGTGCGTGTGGGGTCTTGATAAAACGTACCGTACCACACAAAGGATATCGAAGAACCCTTGTATTGGTAGGTAAAGGAAAAAGCTGGTGGTCACTGCAATAACACATTTAAATGTATAAATATATAATTTTTTCAGTTGTAAATCTCTACCTAATCTAGACTAATGTTATATTGATGAGTGGCCATAGATGAATTTTCTTTATTAATTTACTTAAACTGTATCTAAATTTAGAGTAAGAAAATCCAAGATTTTTAAATAAAAACCTAAAGATCTTTTTATAACGGGTGCACAATGGCATTATAAAAATTCGAGAGATGAGGGAAGAAGAAAAGGATAATAATTATAATGGATATTATAGTTTAAATAAAAATTTAATTTCTTTTTCTTACAAAAACTAATTTTTAACATTTAATGTATTTATTTTATTTTTATTATTTTAAATATTTAATTCATTATGTTTTACAACTCAGTACAATTTCTATTTTAATGCTGAGTAACTTATAGCGCCATCTAGTGATGATTTTATGAATTGTAGATTGTTTATCGTCTTTTGTTCTACATCATTCCATAATATGATCATATTAAGATTAAAGCAGCAATTTACAAATTAAACGAATGTTGTACATTGTTTTTATTATTTATTATCATTCAAATGTAATTTCGTATAAAATATAATCTTTCAATCGAATTTTACAATGTATTCTTCAAATGTACGGTGGAAATTTTGCTCTCTTTCGAGTAGAATTGATTTGGAAGAGAAAAGTAATTGTAATTACATAAGTTTACAAGTAAATGATTAATGAATAACAACAAAAAGGAAAAACCTTCACGTTTATTGTGACGCATTACTTCCATTAAAGAATAAACACGACCCATCAATCATAATACAGCGGTTTTATCAGTGGCCCTAATCAGAAAGTGCTATTTATAACTGCAAAGAAAAACTTTTCTGCAGCCAAAAAGAAAATGCAGAATACATCAACGATATAAATAAACTCTATTTTGTGTGTGTGTGTGTGTGTGTGTGTGTGTGTGTGTGCAGGCTCGTGTATTGCATGTATGGCATTGTAAAATATGCTTTTCTCATGTTTGACATGTTTGTAACGTATAAAAATGAACTGATTGCTCAAAGAAAAAATTATAAATCTTATAATTAATTTTGCTGCATCAAATAAGCTTATTATGAGTTTTGTGAGTGCAAAATTTCTTATATAAATCCATATTTACCATCTTATTGTGCTTATAATACGCAGATTATCTGTGTTTGAAGTCGATTTAAAAGGAGTTGCGGGTTATATGCCGATTTTAAATTGTCATCAAATCTCTTCCCTAGAGCAACTGTTGCAACCTGCGTACAAAATAATCTCCGAACAACGACCACCTCCAAACAACAGTCAGTTTTTACGTTTCCATCAGTGGCCACTGCTCAGATGTTTGAGGTACACTATAAAATAAATTTGACAGAATTTTTTTATTTAATAAAGCGTTCTGAATTTTATTTCGCCGTTCATTATTTATTTTACATTATTATTTTTTTAAATAAAATAATATATGAATTTTCTGTAAGGCCGAGGTAATGCACTCGATCTCCAGCAGATTGCGTTAAATATTTAATACAGTAAAACCCTTCAAAACGAAACCTTCCTAAAGGGGAAGAATTCTTCGAAATGTTCTGTTTAAAAAGGAAATCTGCCAAAACAGGAAAAATACCGTACCGTGCCGGTACCGTGCGAGTCCGTTTTACACAGGTTTTATTGTACTTAAAATTTTAATACCATCTGCAGGCGTTTATAAAAATTAAAAATTTCAGTCTTTCACGATCGTGTTCACCATTATTCGGAAGTTGAAACAGAATTTTTAGTCGAAACCTGAAATAAAATTATTAATTAAAGAATTTTTTAAAAATTTAATTGTATTTAAATTATAAGATTATACCTGATTAAATTTTGTAATGAAACAACTTATTCTGGGGTCAGTTTAACTACAATTATTTATTACCTAAAATATAGTTTTAATTACAATATTTGAAAAATAAAATTTAAAAATTATTTAACTACAATAATTAAATATATATATATAAAGTTAAAGATAAAATATTTACATTTTTTATTGGTAGAAATTTTTGTAGTTAGAAACTGTTTAGCTTGAAGCATAAATAATAAAATTGAAATGAAACAGCTTAGAATCTAAACATATAAAATAAATACGTAAGTTATAAAATTATTAAACACTTAATTTTAAAATATAAATGTAAATTAAAAACGTGGGGGCCCAAAAGTCAGTTAACCGCGTTCGTTTGTTGCATTCGTGAAATTTGCGTAAACTGTGTTTAGGATAATTTTGTTTTTTCCCTTTGCGAAATTCTTAGAGAATGCTTTAATATGGGTATTAGATAGCAAGATCGTATTTAAAAATGGTTAACTGACTTCCGGGCCACCCCCTGCTTTTGATGTTTAATATTTGTTTGGCTTATGAAATTATGTTTGATTGTTTAGGTTTCGTATTTTCCTTCCATAAATAGTGGATAGACAACTATAAATTTTCGTCTGAATTTTAACGTATAAATTTTATTTTATTTAATATACCTGTATAGGTACCGTGTTTCCCCGAAAATAAGACATCCGCAGAAAATAAGACCTAGCACAGATTTTGCTGAATTGCGAAATATAAGACCTCCCCCTGAAAGTAAGACCTAGCAAAGTTTTTTTAGTTGTAACGGTCATGGACAGATGGTTGAAAGTGGCCGTTGGCTTTTTGAAAGTACAGCCACTGATTGGTCAGCAGACAATTACGCCACACGGCATGATTTGCATAAGACTATGGCTTGGGAATCACAGATTTGCATAACGTTACGGCTGGTGATGGCTAATTGGTCGGCCGGGAATCACGCCACATGACATTTGCATAGTGCTACGGTTCAGTAAGCACTAATTGGTCATCGAGTCCGATGTTGACGCTATAAAAAGGCGACAGTTCGACACACCGGATATACGTCACTCTCGTTTAAGTTCGACTTGGGAATTTTTTTGTTCAATAATAAATGTGAATTATTCTTCCTGGAAAAAATAAGACATTCCCTGAAAATAAGACCTAGCGCATTTTTCAGAGCAAAAATTAATATAAGACACTGTCTTATTTTCGGGGAAACACGGTATATTAAATAAAATAAAAAACTGTTTTCTGTAAAACTTTGTAGCATTATCTGTAAAACCAGTATAATAAGTCCTGATATTAGAAGATACGTAATTGTAGACGAAAATTATAGTTTAGTAAGAAAAGGACATTGAGGCATTTTAATTAAAGTGGATAGACAAATTGATTTTCTTTTATTTTTATTTTCTTTAAAACGTAAATAAATATATAAGTGTTCTATATAAGTAGAAAGGGTAATTGTCCCTCCTGTGATTTGTTTCCCTTCAGCTTTCTTCTTTTTTTTTTTTTTCTTTCAAGAATAAATTTATTCTAATAGTCGTAACATCGAAGTAACTAGTATAAGCGCAGTCACACCTCTAGTTCACTTTTAAGTCGCATGTGGGCGCTGCATTATTCGGAAGAGTCCATGTTATTTTAAGGTAGTTGGAGTTTTCGTTTGTTTGATTGGTATTCATTACTTTGCCTGCTGTTACATAACAGCAGGGAAAATAATGAATCCGAATGAAAGATTTTTACATTTTCTGACTCATGGGACCTTAAAACATCCAGAAATGCAAAAAATTCTAATTTGTTTTTTCTTGTACAGTACTGTACAGTACGTATGTTACTGTATGCGTAGAGCACAATTTTGTTCACCCTGTTAGAAGATTAATAACTCCTGTGTCTTTTGTCGAAATTTTGCAGGGAGGTCTGTATATTAGAAAAAATTATATGCTAAATTTTGATAATTAAAGGTCAAGGGAATGGGGTGATAGAGGGGGTCAGGTATCATATCTCAATTGGGATTAGACTTAATGAAGATTTTACTCATTATTAGCACTTACAATTTCTTATGAAACGTCTCTACCTTCATAATTAAGCATTAATTATGAATTTTTAAAATAAAATATCATAATACTGTAAGGTCTCCTTTTATGCGGATTATTTTTATGCGATTTTGAAGTTGTGCGGTTTGTATTTCATCCAAAAATTTCTTGGACAAACATACATATAGGCTTGTTTAGGAAGCCCGCGTATAGACAGTCTCCAAAAATCGTGGAACGCTCAAAGCTCACTCCATTTGTTCCACTGACATATAACGTTTATGGATGTAAAGGACAGCTAGATCTACCTTAATCGCTTTAGTTCCTAGCAATTTTTGATATAAATGTAATTAAACATAAAAAATACTTAAAACTGAAAAAAAACGAAAGAAATGCGTTAATTTTGAAGAAAAAGCTTCAAAGTTTAACTTCCTTTGTCTCGCCCTTCTGTGAAATTTAACACCGATGAGTCATTGTTTACACATCTGGATGACCTTGAACACAGCTGGAGTTGGATTTCCCGGGGCATTCTCATAGACGTCGCGGGAGGACAAGGGTTTAAAGTAGGGTGAACACTAGCTGGCCGTATATTTTTAAATATTTTTAAAAAATTTGGAGACTTAAAAAACATTCCAAAAATTCAAAAAAAAAATTTCAAAAATGGCCTTAAGGACCGTGTTTTATGTAACGCTATGTAACCTGCCCGAGTTAACTCGGGCGAGGAACTAAAGGGGTTTTAATTAACTCTTCACATCCAGATGTCAGTGATTTGTTTTTAGAGTGAGCTTTTGCAATTCGGGGATTCCCCTTGTATTACTTTTCAATAAAATAAACTGAATTAAGTTTGAATACAAGTTTATTTTAAGCTTTTATATGAATTTCTTTCAGACATTCGAAGTAATTTATTAAGCAGCCTATTTCTTTTAATTTCTGCAAACTTTTTTATGCGGTTTTAAGTTAATTTTAACTCGTTGTTTTGGTTTTATGCGATTTTAGAAAATTACGGAACGTATCCCTACTTTTTCAAGGCAAGTAAAGTCTTTTTTTATGCGAATTTTTTATATGCGCTTTTCTGTAGAACGTATCCACCGCATAAAACGAGACCTTACAGTATATGGCGCCTCCAGAATTAAAAAAATTTTTTGGCTGGAAAAGTTACGCAACTGGTTATAATATAAATTTCTAATTGATAATTTTTCTATTTTCACTCTTTTAATAAAATATATTCGTTTTATTTCAAATAATTTGTAATAATTCAAATTTAAATTGCTTAAATTTTATTTTGTAGCTCTTGAGAAGTTACATTATACCATTTTTCCGTTTTCAGTTACCAAAATTCAAAATTTATATGTACAGTACAGTACAAGTAGGCCTGTATAAATTAACGTTACTGTTTAAGTACTTCAGACCCTATTGACTAGTGCTTGTAATTGTTACAAGTTTTTACAAGTAACAAATTACAAGCAAAATGTGTTGAATATAAAGCATTATCACAAGTTACAAGCCACTATTAAGCAATTTCACCTGCATAAGTTACTTATAATAAGTAACAAGCTGCAAGTATTATATATGTCTTGTAGACTGTATTAAGTTACTAATATTTAGGAATTATTTATTGTGACAACGTCAAAATTCCGGGCTGCAATGTTTTTCTTTTCGATGCACAATGCTCTTGATTTTGGTAGTGTCTTACTCCTGTATATTATTCTTTTCCTGTTAAGAAGAGTTAACAGGTAAAGTATGATGCCCGATTAGTAACAAGCTACAAGTATTATAAGTCTTACAGCTATTAATATGTCATTTTTATGAAAAAGGGTCCAGGACAGTTAACTTTCTTAATTGAAATGCAATTTTCGAAAACTGCAGACCGGTAAATTCTCACTAGTACCTGTCTGTCTTTCCTTCCTTAATCTCGAGAACGGGATAGATAGATGAATATCGAGATCAGATATGGAAAGCTTAGAGGCAGGAGGCCCCAATTAACTATATGCGAACGTCTGCTTTATACTAGAAATTACATTATTTCAAATGAAAATTTTTTCCAGAACAGAGTTAGATATATGACTATCATGAATCTTTTGTTAATAGGAAAAGTATGATGTATAGGGACGAGACATTACTAAAATTGAGAGCTTAGTGATTAAAAATTGCAGCGTGGCATTGTGACGATGTTATAATAAATAATTGCTCGTATTTAAAATGTATTTCCCACAAAGTTCCTCTCAAGTTAAGTTCCACAAATTTCTCTGTGGAACTTAACTTGAGAGGGATGTTTATCAGAAAACATCTCTCTCAAATTAATTTCAATAGAAATTTTCAGAATAGACTTATAATCATTATTTATACATAAAAATGTTTTTAAATAATACATAAAACAGAAGCAATGCCTTTGTTCTATTTTATTTAAGTTTTTTTAAAGTTAAAATGCATTCAACTAGAGCAATTAGCGCTGTTCATTTATTTTATAATATGTTTTATTGTACAATAAAAATTAAATTTATTATAATTAGAATCTTAATGCTTAATAGAATATTTCTACATTTTAAAAATAATAAATAATTAATAATCATAAACATACTTTTAATAAAGTTTTCTTACTCAAAACTTTGGACTGTAAAAAAGTTATTCCGATTTCATTTCTCCCAGAGATATACATTATCTGAAAAACCTATAACGAATTTTAAAATTAATTTTTTATTATAGATTTACAAATTTTCTAGAGTTATCTAGGTATTTAGCATCTTTCATGGGTGAAAGACGAAAAACTTTGCCCTAAACAATACTTCTTAATCCTTTTAAAGCATAGCATACCGCTCTGGAGGATCCAAGATCTAATTCGGGAAAAAATCCCAGGAAATTTTCAGTGCAGAATGTTGCTTTACGCTATTTTCCAATAGAAATCATTTTCCTAATTTCCAACCAGAGTAATTAGTAACGAGTTATTTATCACCATCTATGCACTGAAGATTTCGAGTGATATTACTTGTTTAGCGAGACCATTCACTAAACATTCATGCTTCTATATAATGAATGGTTCAAGACTTATCACTCGGATTTCGAGTTCCTTCTATTGAGTTTTGCCATTCTTAAAGAACAGAATGATCATGATGAAAATTTAGAAGAAACTAATCTTCATCATGATCCTTCTATTACTTAATTAAGTTTATCTTCTCTCTTTCGTTTTTCATCGTTATATGGGTTCTTTCCTTTTAATATAGGCACAAAGTTTTAATTATATTATATGTATAAATATAATTAAAACTTAATCTTTAGTAAAGATTGCTCTTCAGGAAATAGTAAGAAAGACAATTAATTAAATTAAATTAAAGATATTATTTAAATTATTACTGTTTTGCATGAAGATCTTTTGTGTGCTTAATTTTTAGTAATTTAATTATTTTAAAGAAATTTTCAAAGAAAACTTACCGCATTCATATCTTCTGCAGACAATTCTTGAGAAGACAAACGGCATATGTATTGATAAGGACTGTGTATCTGTAAACGTTTAAATTATAATAACATTTTAAAATAATTCTAGTATCTATTTTTAAAAATATAAAATGAACGAACAATTATTTATTGTGACATCGTCACAATGCTGAGCTGCAATTCTTAATTAGATCAGATCAAGACCGGAAGTTTTTATATAGTTAATGGGATCCACCGGCTCCTAAGCTTTCTATTTCTAGTCTCGATTTTTATCTATATAAATTCGTTCTCGATAGACAAACAGACGGGGCGACAATGGGAATGTATAGGTCTGCAATTTTCAAATAGCCCAATTAGTCTAGTATTTTTTATTTTAATTTTAAACAGAATTTTTTCTGTTTAAAATTAATATCTTCGAGTATTTTGAGTGTTTTTCTCTTTTTTCCATGTGTAGTGGAAGATTTTCGCATTTTTGTATTTGTAAGATACATTGTAACTTAAAAAAACTTGATACATTTTTACACCCTTTGAACCAATTTAAGTGCAATATAAACTCAATTCAATTGGATTTTTTAAAGCTTTTATTGAATAAACTTTCCCACCATCTCTGTTGTAATTATGTCTTCGTGTCGAATCTAGTGTCCCTCCAATGTCTGATTGGATAATATCCATAAAATCCACCCAACACTGGCTGAAAAAGTGAGGTTTTTGGGTTTCTCTTAATCTATCTAACACTTAAATACGGGTCAATTTTTCATAGAAAGTACTCCCGAAACGTATTTTTCATAATGCCTCAATAGGAGTCAGTTATTTCTATGCTTCCTGAAAGGATTTTCTTATAGAAAATCCTTTCAGGAAGCATCTCCTTGACAGATTGCCCTCGGATTGCATTGCCATATGTCATTAATTCAAATCAATTTAAACACATACTTCTTACATTAAAATTCTTCTAAAATAAGATTATAATAAAATTTATAGTTTGAGGATATAATATAAAATCAAATTTAATTGATTTCTTTAAATTAATCGTTCAATTTATTTGAATTATTTTATGTCAGAGATCCACAATAAGTTTCGTGCTATAACTCATCGTAGACTGCAATTTCTTACTAACTAAACACACTGAAGAAAACCTTTAAATATGCAGCCGTATTTATTAAATTCAAACGTTTTCGGTCATATTCAATGACTTTTCTCAAGAAATACAGAAAAAAATCGAACTCCGAACTTGAATAAACGATACAAGCGTTTTGGAACGTTTTTTAAAAAGGATATTCTACTGGAATAACGCCATCTCTACATAACGGTTGTCATTATATAACCACAGTAGCTATTAGAACGTTAAAAAATATGATGTTCAAGATATAAAATACGAGTAAAAATAAAATAAAGATAAAAATAAAATACAGACGTAAAATACCAAACATACATAATGTGTTTAGCAAATACATTAACTTAAGTTTTCTGCCCTTAAGTAAGTTGCCTCTGTCCATCGTTCTTGACGTTCATAATATACTTGCTCGCCAGGCTGCCGATACTTTGCTTGCATCTCGGAAGTTGATAGCTAATCCTTTTTGGCTTGTTTCGCAGATATGCCAGGCTTCGGCGTACCGGAAGTGCTTTTTGTCGCGAACTATTTGTATCAACCTGGCTCGGTCCCATTCAGATTTGACCTCTTGGGGGTCAGCTAAGACGTAAGTCGCCAGCGCTGTGCACGGTTGTTCGCTTCTTATGTTTCTCTGGTGTTCTGCCATCTTTTCTTTGAGGGATCTTCCGGTAGCTCCGATGTAGAACATCATATTCTGCCTCCGCGTGTCTGTAACAGGGATTCTGTAAACCCCCGGAAGAGCGTTCTTGTCTACGCCATCTTTGTCTGCCCTTAGCAATTGATAAATAGTAGGATTCCTTTTGTATATTTTTCTTCTATTCGTAGCTGCTCCTATTCTCCTATAGACACTGCTCAGTGAGGCCTTATATTCCATCAGTGTGAACTCTTCTGTATTATGTACGTTTCGCACCTTGCTACTTGTCTTACTTTGGTTAGTAATAGCTTTAATATTAACCCCATACCTCTTAGCTATTTTATTGATATAACACAGCTCTTCGTTTCTGTCTTGGGTACTGCTGCAGTGTGAGTAAGCTCGTGCGATGAGTGCCCGGAATGCAGCTAGTTTGTAAGTTGGCGGGTCGTGCGAATTCCATGGGATAAATATCGGGTTGTACGTAGGCTTTCTGTATACTTTAGTGCGAAAATCCCCTTTGCTGTCAAGTTGTATAGATAAATGCAGAAAGTGTATGCGCTTATCACTTTCTTGCTCGAGTTCAATCTCGAGGCCGAACTTGTTGTCATTAATGTCCTTTAAGAATTGTTGTAAGTTGGGTTTGACTTTCCATAAGATAACCACATCGTCGACATACCGTGCGTACATTAGAATTTGCGTTTCGTAATTCGGCATGAATGCATTCTCTAGCGTTCTTAACGTGCTATAAAATGTTGGTTATTAATAATCAAATAGATTTATCATTAAGTTTTTCAGAGCTAATAATAAGTGTAATCCATCATTAATAAAGGTAAAGAAAAGTTTTATAGAGGATAACGGGAGGCCTGGAATAAAGTACAAATTGAAGCCCGTGGAAAATTAAATTATTATACGAAAATAAAGGAAGTAAAACAAACATTGTATTGGGGCCCTACCTCCCTGGTGTTAGGGGCAATTTACTTTTCTTGCCTTCACCCCTAAGACAAGAGGCTTAATCTAGCTAATCCTCTATGACGGATCTAATTCAAGAGATCAAGAAGAGCCTTGCATCTCTCTCTTCGTCTCTGACATCATTTTAAAGAATTTGATATATTCAAAAACAAACCAATGTTAAAAAATTTGTATTATACTTTTAATATAAATTATAACAAAAAATAAAGAATTTTTAAGCACAAGGAATACAATGGAATGAATAATTTGTAAGAAATGCCTAATGAGTTATCTCTAATTAGAGAGTTAGGGAGACCTCAAAACGTTTCTTATAACTTATTTATTCTTGTTTGTATACTGGCACAATGAAGTGACCTTCTTTATCAACACTTGGCAAGTTTTCAATCTTTATTCAGGTAGACAACAACAACAACAACAACAACAAACACTTTTACGAGAATACGCTTAGAAGAACGAATAAGAGGGGCATGATTTTATGTAACTGTTTTAATTCGTACTATTTGTCAATTACTTTGTCTGCGTGTTAAAAATTAAGAAAGCCGCTTGTGTCATTGTAAATAAAAAGGAAAAAAGAAAGCATTTATGTAGTCTAAAGTTCTGCTATGTACAGTACTAGTTAGGTGTCCGTATCGAAGTGAGTTAGCTGAAGAGGGGTGAATACCCGAAACGCAAATGTGTAGCACGGCGTTCTAACTGAATAAAGATTGAAAACTTGCCAAGTGTTGAGAAAAAAGGTCACTTCATTGTGCCAGTATACAAACATAAATAACAACACGGTTTCGACAACAACAACTTATTTATTCCACAATATCCAATTCCTGTTGTCCCCCATCTCCTTTGGCAGAACCTAATCTTAATCAACCTTTCAATAAACGTTAAACTGCCTCATTACGATTAAAATTTTCTGTAAATTATAATAAAAAAAATCGCAATTTCTTACAATTATAATATAAGAACCTCACGCTTTCAAGTTTATTATTAATTACTGAAGGAGTAAGAGCCTTATATGTTACAGCATAGTGTTACAAGATAGAATATATAAACTTACCAATATAGAGATTTTTCCGCAAGTCCAACAGATAATGAAGAGGAGCAAGGATAAAATTACTAGAGAAAACCATATTTCTTTAAAAGTATTTTCCATACTTATAAATAATATATAGGCGACGAGAAGAAAATATAAAATGAAACTTGTACTCAATATAATTGCTATTATAAAACCAATTATCGCTCCTGATTTAGTTAACCCTCTACACAAGTCAATATATACATTAATTAATGTTTTTAAAGAAATTAATTGATTGGGATTACAGACTATGGTGTCTTGTAGGACAGAACGTAAACAACAGACTATTTTATAGAATTGGATAATTAGGTGAATGGCCAATGCTGCACAGTATAACATAATACCTAACGCATACAGAGTTTCTAAATTCATAACAAAGGTAGAAATAATATGAAATATCACAGGTAAAGTAGTGTTTCCTGATATAATT